GGAACACCATCAACTACTGGAAATACAACAACAGAAAAGACTTCTAGCACACCCAAAAGAAGTATAAAGATGGAGATTGATTAACCTCACTGTACAGACCAAAAATAATAACTAGAGAAAAGCTGAGATATCATGTCCTTTCCAGGACATTAAGTGTAATTAACATGTCATATAACAGAGAATTTTTTCTGCCAATCGAAACACAGATAATACCTCATCCCACAGGTAAAAGTACGCTTTCTTCCAATGAGTTTTTGTCCTCAAGATCTCAACTTCTTTCTGCAAGTAATCCTTTGCAGCATCATTACTGTTGCACATCAACAAGCCATGGACATTCATCAGTTTTTGTGACCAAAATACCTGACAGAAGTGAGCATGCAACTAGCTGTATACCGAGAGACAACTGGACTATATGGAACAGCATATGCTGCTAGTCGTGGGTCTGAAAAATATTCATCTGATTTTGGATGATCCACTGCAGTAGCAGAAGAGGAAAAATATACATCAAAGAGAGGAACAACAACAAGCAATCGCCACTGTAATAGTAGATTAATGACAATTTACTTTGTTACCTGGCCAGGGAGATGTGTAAGTCAAAACACGCATGCTATCACCCCATCTGCAAAAATATGGGCTAATTCTGTACTGAAGAAGCCACTTGAAATGCTGTTCCAATGCATCATACCACTCATTGCTCCCATGTTCAACACCAAAGCGATCCTCAATTACAGTGTCAGATATCTAATACACGGTTAAGCAGACACTGAGTTCTCCAGAGAAAAGAAAATGAAATACCTATAACTTGTGATCAGCCATTCCAAAATTAATCTGAATTGAATTATTATGCCAGGGTATATGAGGACTGGATAATCCTTTAGTCTTTGGTCTCAGTCATAAAGGCGGCAGCCTACACAAATTATCAATACAGAAAGAATTCAACTTAATAAACATACAGGATACTCCAAATACAGCAGGAAGTGACGGAGTTGTTGGAATAATGAAGTCCCAAACTGTCAAACTTAACTTGACCCGTACTGAAAGGTTTGATATAGCATCTTCATCCATCATATCAACAGGTCCATTATCTGAAAAGAACTCAGAAAATGATGGAGACAGGAGAACTCTTCTTAAAGACGTAGTTGCAGATTTCACTCTTTCTACCTATAAAGCAATTAATTTATGAACAGCTTGAAAAGAGAGAGAAAGGAGAGAAACAAAAGGTAAATCTAGTAGGAAAACAAATAAGAATAGATTCAGATATTCACCACTTCATCCAATGGTTTTCCATCTATAGGCTCCACAGCACCAAGACAGTTACGAAGTTCCATGAATAGTTGATGCTTCTCAGCCTTGCCCAAGCATTGTGATGAGGATCTGAGTTAAATCAGAATGAATTCTTGAGATTACATGTTTATGATAACAAGTGTGAAATAAAAAAGAATTATGGGCAACAATACTCAATACATGCAAAAGCCCATACACAATATTAAGCACAATCTTTTAACAGCTGTAATTTATTGACTATGATGGACAACGCAGAACTAAAGGTAACAGTATAAAAGAGGAAGGCCTGTTACTCTGAATCTGCCTTTGTAGCATTAATGATAATCTCTCCTTCATATAGGCCTGGGGGCTGTGTATTTGGCACATCTATAGAAACCCAGATAGTGCTTGTCTCCCTGCAGCAGGGGAAAAACAACACAACCTTCTTAGTCTTGAGCAATAAGAAGCCACTCAGCATTAGTTCGCACCAAAACACAAACTATGAAACCATTAACAGGGGAGTACCCTGGTTGTAGGCTTATTTGGCTAATTGGAAGAGCAAGAGGTACAAGAGCATCTGGTACACCCAATATAGGAACCACACGTCGCAATGTTAATGATTGGCCAACAATCAAGCTGCCCACAGCCAAGTATTAGCAAGTGTTATCTAAAAGTATCCCATAAAAAGAGCCGTAAATTGTCTAGAAACTGACCGATCACCAGATGCAGAACATAGGTCACTGCACTGAACCTGCACAACCCCAGCAATACCAGACCCGCTCCAAGAGACTTTTGGACGGATAGCGATTTGAACACTTTCTCTCTCATTTCTAGCTGCCAGAAGGCTTATCTTCAAGATTAAAAAATTGTTAGAAGGGAGATCAACATATCTACTCAAAGAACATCTGAGTCATTTCTTGTAGTAATCACTCCTTAAATTTGTTCTCTACAACCCCTCATGCCCCAAAGATAAAATGTAAAAGAAAATAGAGAAAAAAAGGAAAGAAAAGAAGAGTCAAAAAAATCAACTGCACACAAAAAGACCACGTGTTTCTGTTCTGCCTACAAACTACCAGAAAGGAAATCTAAATGAGAAGCAAACAAAGTAAGATTATAATGTACATATCATACATTGTGAAATCTATCCTGAAGTTCCTTTCAAACCTCCTCCACTGCAACCACCCTCCCCCCCCACAGCGTGCATCCATGCAAAGACGTGAGAAGGTTATTTCCCTATAGACTATAAAGATAAGAGAATGAATACATAATTGAACAACAGTAGTATGGAAAGGTAAACAAATTTGATATTTCTATCAGGATATAAATGATAAATGTCAAAAGAAAGCAATCTTTTATCTTATATAAAAACATGAACACATTAATAAGCATCCACACAATAATGATTTACCATAATATGATATAAAAACATGCAAATCTAAACCAAAACAACAGGCTAAACTATCAACCATGACTTATACTTGCATGCATGGGGTGAGCAAACACATTTATAAGCCTGCTCAAAAAATAATAAGGTTAAATCAAGATGTCCAAATCTACCCCTTGAACCTGCATGAATATATTCCTAAGAAGAATTTCTCATTTTATACTCATCAGCAACAATAAGCAATTGTGGTAATGACTTACAGGCTCTAAATTTCTAGGCACTTCTTGTGGTCCAATATTTGCTGTGCTTGGGAGGCACCACACATGTACTAAATCTGCAGTTGGAACTTCCGAGGGGTCAATTGAGCCCTTGAGCGGATTCAAGACATGGAAACCACCATCATTCCATCCATATGCTGTGCCTCCCCCTGCGACACCTTCAACTGGTGGCACAACCATATCTTGCGGATTTCCTGCCAAGTTGTACCATTCCAAATGTAGTAGATTAGATCAATATACTGATCCAAAATTTATATTAACAAGGTTGAGGAAGTTGGCATCAATAAGATAAAGTTAAGGATGTCTAAGAAATTGGTCCCCACGTAATGCTTAGTTTCATACCCTAAATCATTCATTTGAAGAACCAAGTTCGAGTGCAATTAGCCAAATAAAGCATTTGAGATATCCCTATTTCACAAGTAATCACGGATTTAATGTACTCATAAGACATCAAAAAAGTTTACAGTTCCTTTGATTTTGCTTTCACGGACAATCCGGTTATATTTCAAATATACATGTGAAGGAATCACGATCAAATTCCAAAGAAACCTCATATTTCCATCCATCTTCTAATGATACCTCAGCATCCTCTAAATTCAACCTTAAACAGCAATCGGAGGAACCTATAAGGCTATAAAACAGCTTTTCAATTGTCTAACCGCCATAGATCTCTCCTAAACAAAAAACAATAAAAGTAAAAAAGGCAACGGAATCGAAAAGCAGCAACAGAAAAAGTAAAAAACAAAATAAAAGCAAAGAATATTATTATATTGAGTAAGCTCAGCAGTGTCAGCTTCCAAGTTCTTTGTTCTCTTTGTTTATTTTCATTTTCTCCCTGATTTTCTCAACAACCAAACAGAACACTAAAAATCGGAGACATTAATAAATAAAACAGTTCGAAGAAGAGTAAAATGAGAAAACCGCCATAAAAACGCAATGTCTTGAAGTGAATTCGGGTAGACAAAAGGAAAACAAACATAGAAACTAACCAGGATTATCCATTTCCGGTGCGGTTATACCAGTGCGTTGCTTGCAATTACAACGATCTTTGATATCTCTTTGTTTTTTCTTTTATACAGTTCGCTTTGTTTTCTGGATTCAATAGAGAGAGAGAGAGAGAGCCAAACTTCGCCAGACGGAAATGATCGCGTTTCATAGAGAGTGAACAAAATATGTAGCTAATTATAGGAAAGAGAAAGTGATATTTGTACTCCAAAATTTTGCTTCTTACAAACCCTCCAATGCTACTTGACGTATTGTTTAATGTTTATCATCGAGAGTGCCCGAATTAGAAATATTATTCTGGCAATGCCTTTTTCAAATGAATTTTACTTCTTTTTTTGTTTTTTTTTTTCTTTTATAGGAGGAGTATGGAGAGGGAAATTCCAATTTGAGAATTCTCGTCCGGTTAACAATCTTTGGATCGTTTAAGGGAGAGTTTCCATTGAATATGATTTTCAAATCTCAAAAATTGTATTTAAAATTAAAATATTTATTCCTTTCAAAAAAATATATTTATAAATTTTTAAATTTATAAATACTTTATGTGCATGTTTAGAGTTAGTTTACGTTGTGATGAACATTAATCGATTTCACCGAAATAAATCGATCAAAACCAATTTAAGTCGGTTTATCTTGTGATGAATATTAGTCGATTCAATAAAATAAATCGATCAAAACTAATTATATTTGATTTGTCCCGACTTTAATTTTAATTTATTATTTTGTTAAGTTTTTTATATTCAAGATTTATTATCAACTCCGTCAGAAAAATGATCTTTACTAAGATATTTTATATACTTATAATGTGAATATTGGAAAATAATAAAACCAATCTATTTTATCGTATAATTTGGACAATTATGTTATTATTATGAGAATTTGATTAATTTAATTTTCAAAATTTTTACACTAAACTAATCAAAAACTCACCCTAAATTTTTCTGTTAGCCTTTTTAACAGAATTGAATAACTTGGGTACTAAACCCTGTTCCTTAGGGATTATAACTGGCTGCATAGAGTTTCAACAATTAAACCTCATAGAAAAACTAATGGTTAAAGAGAGTAGGGAGATGGGAGAAACACTACAATATGCTACATTAAGTGGAACACAAAAAAGCTTTGTGTTAGAAAACTTTCAACAATTACACAACGCCGCCAATGTTTTGAACATTTTTGCAAGGAATAGCTATGAAAACAGTGCAGAATACCGGTGAGACATGCACCGATTGTTTGCTAAATACTATAAAAGTTGTATGTGAATCCAAATCAAAGTAAGACTTTCAACCAAATAATTTAAAATTTTCACATTTGGGATCATCATCGCAATCTGTCAAGCTGATGCCATTCCTGACCTTCACGATAGATGCCTGAAATTTTAAGGGAAAAATTAACTAAATAAGTGTTTCCGACTGTAGCAGTTGACACAACTACCACTAAGATAAGATAAACTTTACACTAGCTGTCAAGAAAATGCATGAGTATCATGATTTTTCTAACAAAGTCAAATTAACAGAATATTTTCGTTATGGCAAGGCATACAACAACATCCCAAACACAGTTCCCATCTTCTGCGAGATTGGACCAAACTTAAGTACTATCATATGAATAAGTTCACAATATGCAGTACATAACCTCGAAGTACATTTGAAAACAACATTTGAAATATCTTACATGTGTAAGACAATAAAGCAAGGAAAGAACATTAATTTCCCAATCACGATACACGCAATGTATGAAAGCTTTCACAAATGAGGGGTAAAGAGTAGAAGATTTAAAGATATCTTCTTTTATTTTATCAACAGTCTTGATTTTATAATCCTAATTTTATAGGTCACACCACTCAGCTTCCATAATCTCTAACAAACTTATGGAAACTACATTTGTTATCCCCCATTTCCCTCTTCTGTCTCTAAATTATTTCTAAAAGAGCAGATTAAAACAATGTGACATTCAGTATTGCATTCCCCAGGAAGATGCAAACAAGAACCAAACTCCTAATACCAAAAAGAACTTAAATCCACATTTCTGTGACAAACAAGGAACAAGATAGTCAAGACTATAACAACAAAGAATATTAGGATGAGGAACCAAGTTCTAGACAATCTAAACATAACTTCTGCCTATCTCACCAAAAATATTTCAATGAAATGGAACCAGAGGAGAAGGTGAGGGATCTACCTCTTGCAGAACTCAGTTACATATTTTGAACTGTTGTAGAAGATGAACCACATCAACACAATCACCAAAATATCTGCCATGGTTTAGGAACTGACAAGTGGGAAATGATAATGGTACATAGACTTAAAAGATGGTATTGCGTGAACAAATAAACTAACGGGATCCTTTGCTCTAGTCTAAACTCGCAGATATCAAAGCCCAATTTCTAAAAATTCAAAAAATTTAACCTTTATCGAATTAAACAGCCGATCACAAACTTAATTTGATCACACAGCCAATCACAAAATGCTAGAAAACAAAACGCAGCTCCTTAGATAACAATGTCAGCATAATTCTGTCGTAGGCATCCAGAAAATGACCATGTTTAATCCTTTTGTTTGGTAAAAGTTAGTTACGGATAAGGATATCCAAACAAAATATTAACAAGCCTTACAGCATGCCAATCCAAGAATTCTAAACCAGAGGTTAAACAAATTAAGTTCAGAGTGAAAAAGGATACTGAAAAGGTAACGCTCCCACCAATCCAACATGTAGAGTCCAAAGGTGACATTGTAGAGATAGATCTTGCGTTGAACCCAGTTCATATCTCTAAACCCCTATAAATAAAAAAATAGATACCTGCAAAAATAATCAGAGTGACCAAAAATAATCAATTCACAAAACAAATCCAAGAGAATTAATATGAAAATTCATGGCCAAAGTGATTACAATGAGTAAATCTGTTGAATTACACTGCTGAAATTATCTCAATTCATAATTCAATTTCTGTCAGATGTAACTTCTTTTTTCTCAATATAAGAGCCATGAAGCTAATAGTCATACATAATTAACATAAAGATGTCAAAACCTCAATAACTCAACATCCAAAACTTATCCAAACCACTTAACTCTCTGGTGCTTTGAACCAATCAAGAAAGAAAAGCACTTTTTTTTTTTGACGAAACGACAACTAAAATTATTTCCCAACCATAACAAAGTAAAATCAACAGCTATGGAACTGAAAATTGAATAAAATTTCAGACTTATCCACGGCGAGGAAGCTCAGGTTCTTTAGATCAAATGAAGATAAACTTTTAAAGGATTGAATGGAGAGAATTCTGAGGGAAATTGAAGGAAATTCTATGCTAATTTCAACTGAGAAATAACTTCTGATTTCTTGAATAAGTTACCAAAATAGAAAATAAAAAGGAATTCAAAAGCTTACCTAATCGGTGCACGGGCGGTTGAAGGTTACGTCAAAGGCGGTTCCGGTGATCGGATCGAGAGTGAAGAGCTTCTCTGAGATTTGCTGTGGCAAAAGAGAGATAAAGAGCTTGGTCTATGGCGTTTCGGTCAAAGAAGACAGCGAATACATTTCGTTCACAACTTAAATGACGGAAATGCCATTCAGTTAATGACGTGGCAGTTATTAATTCGCTTCATTCGAAACTCCAACAAAGAGCCGCTCCGTACCGCGTATACAAAACCCCACCATGTCTCTGCAGTAGAATCGAACTAAAACCACCACAAACAGTAAACTTCGATTTCGTTAAAAACCTCTCTCTCTCTCTCCCCCACGGAAAAAAAGAGAAAGGAAATTTAGGGTTTAGGGTTTCGGAATTTGGAAGCAGCGATCGAAAGCCAATGGAGAGTGCATTAGCAAACGCCTCGGCGATCGTAGATCAGAGGCAGAAAATCGAGCAATACAAACACATTCTATCAAGTGTTTTCTCATCAAATGACATCGTTCAAGCCAAGAAATTCATCGATCACAGTAATTAGCTCACCTTTGCCTGATTTATGAGGTTATTTAGGGGGTTTTTTTTTTAAGTTTAAATATTTTAATTTGTGATTTTTTTTCAGTGTTATCGGACGATGTTCCACTGGTGGTATCAAGGCAGCTTTTACAAACTTTCGCACAAGAATTAGGGAGATTGGAGCCAGAGGCACAAAAGGAAATTGCTCATTATACTCTTGCTCAGATTCAGCCTCGTGTTGTTTCATTTGAAGAACAGGTTCGTTTTAAATTTTGTTGATGGCGTCTTATTGAAAGCTACTGGGCAAATTGTTCTGTTTGGAATTACTTTTGTTCCATTAGATGCCACATTGTTGAACCTTTGTCTCAGCCGAAATCATCTGGTTGCAAAACTCTCGTGAATTCATTTATTATATATCTACCAAATTGTTACTGTCTTCCCCTTTTTGTTTATGTTTTGCTCGCAGCTTGGCTTCTAGTTTGGTTGCAGAACAGAAAATACTTTTTTTCTTAAGCCTCCTGTTTCCTGTTTATGTAATATGCTTGGTTGTTGAAGGAAAGCTGTTTACTTTGTATGAGTTATATAGGTATTGATTATCAGAGAGAAACTTGCTGAATTGTACGAGTCAGAGCAGCAGTGGTCAAAAGCAGCACAGATGCTAAGTGGGATTGATTTAGACTCTGGAATGAGGTCTGAGAGTAAGATTCTGTTTAATTTATCTGATGATGGCTGTGGCAAATATTCTCTTGTTCCTATTGATGACACTGACATGCTTTTGTGATATGGCTATCAGGGTTATTGATGATACATTCCGACTGTCAAAATGTGTCCAAATTGCTCGTCTATATCTTGAGGTATTGACTTTTGTTTGTATAATTTTATGATTTACTTTCTTTTAGTTATTTATTTGTTGAATGGTAGCATGATTTAGACAGGTTTGCATGTTATAGAATGTCAAGGACTAATGTAGTTTAGTTATTCTATAGCTGTCACGGAAAATCAATTTGGAATTTTAACTGAAGTTGTTGCTTGAATATTTTACAGGATGATGATGCTGTTAATGCAGAAGCTTTTATTAATAAAGCTTCATTCTTAGTTAGCAACAGTCAGCATGAAGTATTGATTTTACAATACAAGGTTTGACATTGTTTTTAGGCTAACAAGTCTAGTGTTAAAGCTGTAAGTCCAGTCATTTGTTAGTTTGCTTTATTTTTTTTTTCTTGTTTTCAGGTCTGTTATGCAAGGATTTTGGATTTAAAGAGGAAGTTCTTGGAAGCAGCACTGCGGTACTACGACATTTCTCAAATTGCGAAGCGACAGATAGGAGATGAGTACGTAATCTTATGTTCCATTTTGCGTCTATAAAACTTTTGCTTATATTGCCATCTAGGAAGCAGTTATTAGCCGACATATACAAAAGAAACTTGACTCTGTACATGGTGCTTACGATGGCCATCATGCTTTGCATACCATGTAAACTTATCAATTTGCTTGTATCTCATTTCTCCTTTTCTGAATATTGATGATTGATGTTTGAGGAATTACTATACAAAATTATTAATGTTCACCTATTACAGAACAATTGATGAGGATGCACTCGAGCAAGCTTTATCTGCTGCTGTAACATGTACGATATTAGCTGCTGCGGGTCCTCAACGCTCCCGTGTTCTTGCCACCCTGTACAAAGTAAACACTTTCTCTTGATTGAATGTAATATTAGAATTTCTTATTGTGTGATTCTAATATTAATGGTTTGTGCCATGTTTCAGGATGAGCGGTGCTCCAAGCTGAAGATTTATCCAATATTACAAAAGGTTCTCACTCACTCTCGTGTATTCAGGCACACTCAGTCACATATGCATCCCCACATGCATTAGCCTTGCATATCGTTGCCTATTTTTATCTCAGATTCTTAAAGTCCATTCTGACGGGTATGAATATGAAATTGACAGGTTTATTTGGAGAGAATATTAAGAAAACCTGAAATTGATGCATTTTCTGAAGAACTGAAACCACATCAGGTTATAAAAGTTTCACCTGCCTTAGATGTTGCATTTACAATAAAAGTGAATTGTCCTGTCTTAGAATAACCTTTTGTTTCCCACCAGAAAGCACTGCTTCCTGACAATTTTACTGTGCTGGACCGTGCCATGATAGAGCATAATCTTCTGAGTGCAAGCAAACTTTACACAAATATAAGGTTAGAAACGTAAAACTATTGATTTTCAGCTTATCTTATTTTTTGGTTTGGAAATTCTTAAAAACACTTTTGTTATCTTTGTCGTAGTTTTGATGAGTTGGGTACTTTGCTGGGCATTCCTCCTCATAAGGTACGATTCTTATGTGGCACCCTTTTAGTAGTTTTGAGCAACAATAGCAGCTGTCATTACAACCTTTTAAGCTACTTGTTTTGCTTGTGGTTTTTTATTTATTGGTCTTCTCTCTCTTTGAGGAAATACCTTTATATATTGTTGTTAAAAGGAGAAAACAATTGTTGGCTGTTTGTTTACAGGCTGAGAAGATAGCATCAAGAATGATTTATGAGGATAGAATGAGGGGATCAATTGATCAGGTATCAATTTGTTGCCACATGGTTTTGTTTTATTACTGCTTTGATGGATTCCATGATCAATTAACTTTATGATTGTGTTCTTATTATCCTCAATTATGTAAATAATTAATGACTGTCTTATGCATTAGGTGGAAGCTGTTATACATTTTGAAGATGACACTGAAGAGCTACAACAATGGGATCAACAGGTAATGCATTTTGAGTATGGACTTGATTATGGCCGATAAGCACACCCCTTTCTTTGCTAGTTCTCAGTTTTATCTTGGCTTATGATTCTGCAGATAGTTGGCGTGTGTCAAGCGCTGAATGATATACTAGATACCATGGCAAAGAAGGGCATGGCAGTTCCCGTCTGATCTGGTGCACTCACCAATAAAGAAGGCCTAGAAGAGGATTGATTTTAGCCTTCACCGATCTGCATAAAAGAAAACTGCCAAGCCCCTCTAATTTACGTCAAAATTTAGTTACTCCGGTTTACTTTTTGTAACTGCAATTTCGCCTGTTAGGGGAGGCAGGCAGGCTTCAGATTCTGGATAATCAATTTAAGTTTCTGTAATTATTTTTTCTTAAGTTGTTTACTAAGCCTCGTTGATCAGTTATAATACTCACACATCAATTGGAGATCTGATGAAGAGCAGAGAAAGCGGAATATACAATGAAGCACGTTAAGCTGCTTTATGTGGTCTTATCAGTGAATGTATTGATTATCGAAGGGATTTCTCTTCCACTTTTAGAGATAGCATAGGTCTGGATTATGACATAAAAATGCTGCATATTTGGCACTAACTTCGCACAGTTTTCAATGAATGACCATTTAATTCAATAACCTTGCCCTTAGTTACCTCCCTGCTCGTAAGTTCCAGAAATTGCCTCCATGTCTTTTTGTGCAGCGTCTAAGGCAGGAGGTGGTGGTTTCAGCTTTCAACCGAGCTCAAATGAGTCATTCTGCCAAGCTGCTCAAGAACATCTGATACAAACATGTTAACAGAAACATGGTTTTTGACAGTCCCATTCGATTTCTTGGTCAATGAATCTGAGTAACATAGGCTTGAGTTCAAATGCATATGAATCAAACTAATCATACCAGGTTTATCAACGAATTATAACGACTGCTTCTATACCATATACAAATGCAGTGCAACACTATTGAAGGTTAAACGTGTAGAATTGATACAGAGGAGATTTTCTTCTTCTTTTGGTAAAATTTTGTTCACGTTTAATTACACCTACTTGAATAGTAGCTATGAAAGTCTATGGTTAATTACAGTGTAATTTTGGAACCTTGTTTTCCTTCCTTTCCATTGATCCTTCTGATTAAAAAAATCATCATCGACATGGATTCAGGAAATATACCTTTGGTACTTGAATCAGCCATGATTTCAAATTATGTCCCTAAACCTCTGGACGGGGAGCTCTTGGCTGAATCCTTCCCAGATTGTAAAAGCACGTCATGATTGATTGATGCCAATTGTGACAAATTCTGCAATACAATAACCTTTTAAGAGAAACGAGCTCATTTGTTTTATAAAGGAACCAATCACTATTAAATTTCTTTTTCAGGATACCAATCACTATCAAATGTGTGAGTGCATTTACTTCTGTAGAGAGAGATTGAGTGGCATACCTTGAAAGAGAAATTTATCAATGAGAGATTAAGAGGAGAGGAAGCAAACTCCGCTAGGTCACCACATTCATCCATCTGAATCAGAGGAAATAAGAGATGATCAGGACAGAAATACACAGCAGAGATGTAGGATAGGGTAGAACCGCCACATGCATGCAGCAGCGGACTACGAGCTTGTGTCCAAATTGAAAAAACATTCTATGTTCTACAAAACCTTCTGACATAAAGGATGAACATTGCAGCCAGTTTCTCGATGTACCGTGCTGCAACATTATACGACTTAAAGCTCCTCCGCTAGAAGTCATGCACTATTATTTTATATGCAAACTCAAGCTCAATAAAGACACAGCCTTTAACCACTAAATGGGGTTGGCTACAAAGATCAAATTTCATCATTGTGCTCTATTTAAG